CCATGATTGTGGTACTGGTGACTGGTCCATATTTGTGGTACTGGTGACTAGTCCATGTTGTGGTACTGGCGACTGGTCCATGTTGTGGTACTGGTGACTGGACCATGTTGTGGTACTGGTGACTAGTTCATGTTGTGGTACTGGTCACTGGTCCATATTGTGGTACTTGTGACTAATCCATGTTGTGGTACTGGTGACTGGTCCATGTTGTGGTACTGGTGACTGGTCCATGTTGTGGTACTGGTGACTGGTCCATGTTGTGGTACTGGTGACTGGTCCATGTTGTGGTACTGGTGACTGGTCCATATTGTGGTACTTGTGACTAATCCATGTTGTGGTACTGGTGACTGGTCCGTGTTGTGGTACTGGTGACTGGTCCATGTTGTGGTACTGGTGACTGGTCCATGTTGTGGTACTGGTGACTGGTCCATGTTGTGGTACTGGTGACTGGTCCATGTTGTGGTACTGGTGTATCGTTGTATTGAAGACTCTAAATATGGCAACACATCACACATCATTTATGATGCATGCTGGGTAACGATAACAATTGAAGTATGCACTAACACAGCAAAGGAACTTATGACACTGTTTTGCACAAAATAAAATCATGATATCTAGCTTTTTATTTCTTGTATGTAAAAATAAAATCCACAAACATAAAGTAATGTTGGAATGCAGCTATGATTTTAAAAACATGTAAATTTGGATAGCAACTAACAGTCTGAAACTTGAGACACGGACGTGATGTATGGATTATACAATTTTCAGGAAAAGGGTGAAATATGGTAATACAAATGTAATGTTGATTTTTTTTTGCATTCGACAGATAAAGATTTGTTTTCCTGTAAAACTGCTGTTAAAGCTTTCAAAACAATTCTATCAACCCTTGGTGGCAGAAATGAACGACAGCGGGCAAGGAAATTACTGGAGCAATTAACAGTTGTTGATGACGAACCTTCAAAACGAACAGAAGAACTGAAGAAGAGTGGACGCATCAAACCCAGATCCAAGGTAATTTTGGAATGTGCCATTATTTATACTAGGGATGACAGGAGTAAAATCGTGAGGGATGTTTTCTCACACATCTCTTCTCACTTTCATGCATATTATTTTGACATCTAAAATATATCATAAAATATACCATACTTATGTCATCGATCAATCTTCTGTAGAAACAGTGGTCTTTGAGTCTGGAGCATGAGCAGTCTAGTCAAACTCGAATAAAATGAGTTTTTGCAGGCTTTTTCGGGTATTATCACTAAATTGCGTCTCCAAACAGGGAAAGAAGATTTACATTTATGATAATTAGGTCAAATGCAATTACTGTAGAATACTTTTTTTTCGCTTGGAATTTATTTTCGCTATTTTCGCTGAAGGGATGATTCCGTGAAAATAAAATCCAGCGAATATACTTTTTTTCCTATATTTCACATTAAACTCATCAAAAATCAGTGAAAATAAATTTCATACAAAAATGCCCAAAAAGCCTTTTCAGCGAAAATTAATTCCAGCGAAAATAAAGTATTCCACAGTAGTTTTTGTAAATGCAGTGAGTGTTTGAATTTCAAATATACGAACAATGTATTATACTTGCATTGCATTGTATACCTTGCTATGAAATCCATCCCACTAACTTGATGCTGCAAAACATTTCAAACTTTTTAGTAAAATGACTATTTCATCAAAAGTTAAGTATGTTGTTATTTGATGAATGGTGGAAAGCCACATTTAATAGGTTTTTATCCTTTTTAGGCGAATTTATCAGTGTGAAAAACAAATTAGGATTGCACTTTAAAAAAACATGGGCTCCTATAATATCATATGTGGGATAAATCTTTGTATCTAACACGGTATCTACGGGGTTGATTGTGTTTTTTAAAAACAAAAAAAAGTATATTTAATAATACTAATACCCTTCAATGTGAAAGATGTTGTGAATTCCTGCATTCTTGTAATTTTGAGAGATCTAAAGATAGCAAGTTAATATAAGGGAAGGTGATTAACATTTAAGTGTACCACAACATAACAACCTTTTGTTGTAAGCCAGTGTAGATTAGACATGATCTCAGAAAATCTCTTCTGTTATACGTAAATCAATAATTTCATCAATTCATACCATTCATGATGGTGTTTTGATATTTCTGATGATATACATTTATCTGCAAAATCTCAATTACCCAATCGTGATGTGTTGACTCAGAAACACACGAAACATCAAAGAAACAAGCTTTCAAGTTTAACTTCTTGTTTATTTGGTCATTTTCAGTTACACCAACGGCACTACTTTTTACATATCAATACACTCGGGTGATCAGGTGACATATAACACCATTACAAAAATATGTATTCTGATGCATGCAATAAAGTAGTCCCAAAAACGTCACACCAATCACTAAAAATGCTTTTCACAAGCTGAGTGAGTATGGAGGCTTAGATAGACACGACTAATTGTAAGCCATATAACAGTTATTATTATAGCACTATCAATAACGTTGTATCTACTTATGTAAACGATAATACTTTAAAAGCCTCAAGCTGTTAGTTGCCATAGTTACCTAGTATAAGATATATGTATGTAGGGCATTTCTGATTTGTTCAGAATTTAAATATCAATATAATCAGTTTGTTGGATGTCACAGGAAAGTGATTTAAGTGTGTGTAGTCGTGTTTATAATTTGAAAGCTTTGTGCTTGCATGGTGTTTGTTTTAAGGGTATGCTATATACAATACCAGCTTCTAGCGGGATTTCATATACATTTGTATGTGTGCATCCTGCCAGGCTGGTGCTGTCTTGATAAAATATGTGTGTTGCTTTGTTATTGACATATCTAGAGAAAGATTATACAAAATTGGTAATTAAATTAAATTATTTTAAGACTGTCAATTTATTGATATGGCATTTCTTGTACATTTCAATAAAAAAAAATTATCTTGGGAAATGCAAGGCTTGCTTTCATTGGTAAATTGTTAAGCACCCCCCCCCCCCCCAGTTGTGTCAGTTTTGTCAGTAATAGGTTTTATAGGTTGCCTGTTATCAGTGATAAACGTGAGTAAAATGAAGCTGATCTGAATGCTTAAAATATTGATTGCAGCAATTGAATAAACATATTTATTCTCTGCAAAAATAAATCAGACAAATATCACATTATCGCTTATTTTTAAGTTCAACAAACAATTATTGCGTTTATAAATAAATAAATAAAATGGCCATTTATATAATGTTTCTAGCATACAGTGAAGAACAGAAAGCTGTCCTTTTGTTTGAATAAATAAATTGTAAATACAGATCCTCAGCTTTCATTCCTTGGCTCAATAGCTTAACATTGTCCCCTCCCATAATGCATGCAAATGCACAGACACATACTAGCAGCTACAACCAGCCACTTAATGAAAATGAAGAGATTGGTGAGTTTGACATTATTCAATAATATGAATTAAGTCACAATGATGACTCAATACCATTTCTCCATTGGTCAATCTGAATTCTAACAACTATTTTGATTTATACAAATCTATACCTAATAAATGTGTATAATGTCTCAGGTTACTGTCATTCACTGTATGCTGTATAGTGAAGGGCGTAGCCTGACGGGGCTGCGCGAGTTGTGCCCTCCGCGGTGCTCCAAATCCAACATGCTCCAAACCCAACATGGGCCTGCCAGAGCGATGTAGTTTTTCACTTCCCTCGATGATTTTTTTTGTCTGTACCAATCAAATGGCAGGAACATCAGACAGTTACAGCCATCAAAAAGTAACCATTCACGGCGGAGTTTATTTATTTGTTGGCACAATGTGTCATGAGGTGCTAGCAAATATTAGGCAAATTACTGTTTATCATTTTGTTGAAAACAGTGTGTGATTTTTGCCGACAATGCAAACACGGCTTTGAGTGATGGTGTTACCATGACCACCAAAATGAATATTCATTCAACTAATCGCAAGAAGGTGTGAACTTGGCGAATTCGCAGTACTGATCTTACCGACGAGACATACATTATTCTGCCAGGCGTTAGTCGGGTCTGATGCCATTCGGCCTGTGAGGGCGCCACTCACACCTACATGTCAGGCTTTGAAGGGCACCATAAAATTCAAAATTTGTACATACCTGTACTTTAATTAAGATGTTCTCATCACTGCGTTGTTTCATGTTTTTATTTCCATAGATTATTTTTGGCACTGGTGACAGTATTAGAGCTACCACAGTGACAGCAAACTCGTCTTTTGTACGAGCAGCTGCTGATCAGGTGAGTGTTTATGATTCATGGTTGTACTGAAAAACAATATTGTGTATGCATTAGTGCTGTGACCACCCATTGAGGACATATTCTACCAGTGTTTCGTGCTTAGGTAAAGTCTGTGCTAGCTGCATGTGGAAGTATTACGAATTGTTTTTTAATATAATTTCTCAAAAGAGAAATTTGCATGAGTTATGAAAATCACAAATATTGTAGCAATGAGCATTTAACTGGGGTACTTACAACAAGTAATAGTAACAAGTTTTGCAAACTTTCATTCTTTCTATTCGTCCTCACTTAACAATAAATTTAATGGATTATGTATTTTACCTATTAAATGTCACTGAATATTTGTAGATGGAAGTTCATTGGTGTTCAGTGTATTACAGAAGCACTGAAATAAACTGATTGGAAAACCACTGTTTCTCTATCATTTCCTTTGCAACATATACCTAGGAACATTGCCAGTGGTGTTTTTATTTTGATAAACCAACACATTCCTATTAACTTTCGAATTAGGTTATTGTTTTTGAAAATCGTTCGCTGCCAATATGTCTAGACCACTTGACCTACAGTTATAAGAGTGACTGCATGCTCAGACTGAAATCCAGCAGCTTGGAATTTCTTATGTTTTGATTATTATTAGCTTTTATGCCATTATTGATAAATATTTTAGGCTTGATTATAGAAACATTCAGACCATAAGTTATACAACCTATATTATACAATTAGAAACTTAAAGCGGGGGAGTCATCACCTAGGCATGCGTCAGGTGGCCATAGCGTGTCATTGTTTACAAGCAAGTGTCTACCCATGAGCCTTTGCGTTTTTAATGTGTGTTATCATTGCTTTGTCTTAATTCCCGCTTTGATCTCATTCATAAACCTAAATTTAGTTCAAGTACGTATAGTGTAATGTAAGAGTTTATACATGTAATAATGACAATGTGGTGTTCGGTCTCAACCTTTAAAAATGTCAGAGTAGCTTTGGTGATCTAAAACTCAGCAAATAAAAAGTAGATCAGTATACAGTTTAATTGGATAAATAGTGAGTGATAGACATGGATGAGTTTGTTCTATTCACTATTTAATAATATCAGTCATCTGATAAACCTGTGTTTATATCATAACATGAATACAAGTGGGATAACTTACGAGTAAACATAGGAAATGTACTTCTATTGATGTTTAGTTTACATATTTATGAAATATGAATAAAACCGTAACAAAAATAATTTTCACTGGATTTAATTTTAGTAGATTTGATGTTGCAGAGATATTCACTACGTTTTAAATTCACTGGTTTGTGAAGGAAATAATTGTTTTTATTTAGTGCAAAACGGGAAAATAGAACTCTGCAAATAATTAAGCCCTCTTCAGTATGCAAGTAATATTTTAATAAAATTTTTGCTTTATATGCACGTTTATCAGAGATGTAATTGTAATAAAGAAAATATGGTATTTCAATAATTCAGCATACAAAAAATCCAATTTTTGTTTTGTATACTCGTCTATCAGAGATGTGCTTGTAATAGAGCAAATATGGTATTGTCAATAGAATATTTTTTTCTACTCTAGGGAGTCAACTTTGATGTTTTCATTCATCAACCAAGGGCGCTGACGGAATCAAAGCAAGCATCGGCTGTTCCTGTGACTCCACCCGCCGTAGTTACTAAAGAATAAAACAGTGAAGTAACGAAAGTGTTGTATTGGATTATAAGCTGCATGATTACAAATCTTGGTGAAGTAACGTGTTTACCCATAATCCATTACATGCAGTATTAGTTTATGTACGGTACTTGAGGATTATTTATTTTGCTCCAATCAGCGCATGATGTGTGCGTAAGGTCATCGTTTCACAGTCATGCCTGAGAGGATTTTGTTTAATTGAAGTTGGTACAAAGACGAGATTTGATGTTACAAACCAACATTTTCATATATTATGGGCAGTTTTGCATAAATGCTTGGACTGGTGGGAATTCTTTCTCATCTTTGTAAAAACGATCAAGATATCTATAATTTAATGACTATGCGAATGTGTACTTCTCTGTGTGTACATTTTTCTTGGCATTTGTTTTACACCATATATCACTGCGGTGAACATAAATTTTACTTATGAAAATACATAACATAAATATTTCCATTGACATTGATATTATTATGACCATGAAGTATAAAGTTCCGGTAGTGGCACTTATTTATTTATTGAATGAACTTGGCTTTGAACGTGACAATGATCTAAAGCTGCTTTTGAATTGAACAATATTGGATTGCTGTATTTGCTTTATTAGAAGCGCAAAAAAAGAAATTGATTGAATACCCGGTCATTCAGATTTGAGTTATTTTGACCACAATCATACCCACTCGTTATGTGAGTGCTTGTAATACTAATAAAGTAAATACGGTACATGCATTTGCACCCAAGGGGAATGTTCAATATTTAGGTGATTAATATAAATAATTGCATATTATATAAAATCTCCATGGTTTATTTATTGGTGTTACAGTAAATACACACATTTGTTTTCAGTTTTTCGGCCAATCAGGCATTTTGTTGTATGTCACATGACTGAGTTTATACGGTCACGGTAGTGATCGTAAACAGTTTTATAGCATTGTTTTTTAGATCAATGAAATTTTGTTGATCAAACATTTTTAACCATGTTTGTTTCTTTGGTAGCACTTGTTTTTTTCTTTCTGCTTTGTGCTTCGTTAAAGTTGCCTTCTGAGGTCCTTGTGATTTATCTGAAATATTCAAAAGCATGAATTTATGCTTATTGGAGGAAAGCTGTCAAATTTCAATGCTTTCCAGGCATTCCTGAATTATGATGTTAATTTCAGCTTTATAATCTATTTGCTGCCCCTTTTAAATAGTCTTCTGAGAATTCATGAAAAATGTCAATATTTTGAGTTACTGAAGCCTGTGTTAACGTGAATCAGCAAAATATTTAACATAATAATCTCATATTGCAACTTTAAAGAGGCATCTCCGTTTAAGCCTAATCTCGCAACAAATTTTCTGGATTAAAATTATAATAGATGACAAAAAATAGATTAACATTACAAAGACACTTAGATAGCCTGTAGAAATGACAATGTGGCAGTCAGGATAATGACTGTGGTGGTAAAACAAATCACTATGGCGATACTGTCACACTGTTAGTATCCTAGGGAGAACATTGTCTAGAGGGTAGCAATTAGCAACTTGTCTTATTGTTTATTTCAGTGAAACATTTTAGCATAGTATTTGTTTTTGAAGGATTTTTGTACTAGGGAAATATGACCAGGGTAAATTGCCTTTTATAGTTTTGCTTGAGGGAAGCACGACCACTTCATTTTCTTCTGTGACCCAGGTCATAAACTTTTATCCAATTTTGTACATTTCTGGAATGATAATGTGAAAAACATCATTCTGATATTTTATTATCAAATTCTTTAAATATATTTATATTTTATCATGTAGGTTGCTTTGACTCGCCAGCATGTATGAGCAAATTATAAGCAAGCTTTTAGAAAATGTTTAATTTGCTTTCTTAGTTTCACATACAGGAATAAATCAAATGCTTAAGTATTGAAAACAAGGTACAAATATACTTTCTATTTATTTATATATTTTAAGTATATATTTTATTTCAGCTGAAACAATGTTCTGTACATTTTAAGATATATTAAAATGTGCTTAGTTTCTATAGAAATAAAAATGAATACTGTCTCGCCTATAAATTTGTTTTTCTTAACAATATGCAGATTTTATTTAAAACTAGTTGTGAGTTTGTGAAGCAAACATGATTTTTTTGCATAACTTATTTCTTTCAATGAAATAAAGAAATATAATGACATCACACGTGTATATATTGAAGTTTGTGTCTGAAAGGCACGAATTCGAAATCTTTGCTTTTTAAAACGAGCGCCAACTATCGGCCAATATATTATCGACGTCACTGCCGCCATTTTGAATATAATCAGCTGGCTGGTCTTTCGTTGATGTGGTCGGGTTGAGGAAACTACAATTTCGCACCCTTTAAAGGGCAGTGGACGGTAAATATATTTTCGAGTTATATTCATTAGCCGATTTCGAAAAACTCCTCGAATGTAATTTAATTTGCGTGTGTGCTATTTTGGGGGTTAAATTGCCGTTTTTGCTCGAGGTCAAATCGTTGTAGCAGACGGTCGCATTTCTTCTGAAAAATCTGTCCGTATTCAGGCTTTGTTGTGTATGTTATGTTTTTATACGTGTTGTTGATGCCTTTGACATGCAACGTTTACGTAAATGTTGCGAGAGTAAGCAGTACGAGGCACAGAAGAGCGCTGTAGTATTAATAGTAGGTAACCTTGAATTTTGCCACACGCCAATCGATCTCAATGCCGCTACAGACGGCCCTAATGTTCTTGTTAGGTAGGGTCATTTGGGGTCACGTAATCGCCACAGTAAACTGACTTCTTTGAGGGTGAAAATAACTCCTTGATACGTCTAGTTATTGAGTCTAATATTTACTGGATAGAGAGAGAGAAAGAAGGAGAGAGCTGCCTTGCGATTCGGTATCTAATTAGTAGTGAATGGAAACGTTCTGTCGGCAGAGAATGGCGATAATGTTGATAGCCGCTGGCAGAATAGCTATAATGTATTCAAAGTAAACAACATACTGTTCTAATGCAAAACGTGTTATTTTTACGAGTTAATCAGGCAGTCTGAGCATGTTCCATCTTGTGAGTCTTCGTCGTCCGCATTATTGGCAATACTTATTTTATAAAAAAGAAATCCCTAAAGTTATGGGTCTTTAGCATGCACGAGTTTTCCTGACAAAGATCGTCTCAAAGAACAGAATGTTTATTTATTTAGATTTAGTTACTATTAATATTGTGAAACTGTTTTGGGTGTTGTACAAAATAATACATCAAGGATGCATTTTGAGGGGTGAAGGAATGTTTATTTTTATTCAATTTCTTTAAAATTCATGTGAAGGAAGAATGCAGAGATTGAAATTAAAAATTAAAGTTGCCTGTTAATTGGACGGGCTGGGAAAGAAAAGGTGATGACGTACCTGTTTCAAGCATGTGAATTGAGACATATTTGAAATGCACTGTTCATTTTTGTTTCATAGGTCATAAAACTCTGAAAGCAATTTTTTGGAGATTAATAACTTAGGAATGTGTTAATTGTCAAAGCACTTTTCTAATAAAAACATTGACAGCCCAAACAGAGGGTTGACCTACAAAATTCAGAACTTGTACAGTCGTGGAATAAATTTTGTTGAGTTGTTCATTCACACCAGTTTCGTTTGAACTCGTATAGTAGTTTAATAAATACATTGCACTTCTGTGGCTGTGAGTTTGCTGTAAATTATTTTAATTCCTCTTATATGATCCATTTCATGTGGCATAATAATACATAATGACAGTCTCATCAGAAAACAAAAAAATGATTTTTTTGTGGTCTTGAGAACATGTACAAGATGTACAGATTCCTTTTGGTGTATTTCTCATAGTCCACTTGGGTGATTTATTATGTCCAATGACAACCTGACAGTTGGGTTCTGATGGAGACATCACCAACTTCACCATAATTAATATTGCTCCTAATCGGTTTCTTTGTGAAGAATGGGACTGTCACACTAGCATTGCAAACATTACTGGATATAGCACATGGAGAAAATGTAACAACTGTCATCCGTAATCTTAGTACCAAGTCCAAATGCATGTGTAGGAAGGGGTAACAAGCGGAAAGAGAGTCTGGCATACAAAATAAACTTTCAAAAATAAAAAATAATCGTGGAGGTTACCTGATTGTGTGTGATTTAAATTAATTCTATACTTCTATTTTTTGCTGACATTAATTTCACTATTTTGATGTTTTTATCATATTTACTGGGTTTCTTAAGTTCATAAATTTGGCAGTCAGACAATGCATTTTATTGTTTTACATGTCCATATATATTTATCTTGGCACATTTCACATATCAGCAAAAATAGAGAAAATAAAACACAGTGAATAATTAATGCATCTACAGTACTGTACATAATTTATTACATGATCATTAAAATATGCCAAATTTTGACTATAGACTCTCTCCGGTCATTCACATTGGCACATGTGTTTTTAATTAGCAACCTAATCCCGATCACGAACCACATCGATACTCAAGACATTTTCTTCAAAATTCATTCAACATAAAGATTGTTTAAATGTAAAGATAATTTTCCTCCAAACTTTAAATTTTTAGCTCCTGTTTGTGCTTTGCCACACTGTCTGTTTCAAATCTTGTTCAACTTGCATCTCAAGAACCACTGGCTGGATTGAAATGAAACTTGGCACACAGCTACTATATCATGCACCAGACCAGCACCAGATCTAATTAGATTTTGATACAAATCTGTGTATTTTAATTAAGTTTTTAGCATAATAATCAGTTTTAGCATGTTTACTGTGTATCTTAAAAGATCATTGCTGGTTATGTAGATCTAATTAATATGCATATTCATTAGCTAATTAGGATAATAATTAACAGTTTTCAGCTTGTATCATAACACTTAACAGTTTTCTCCAATGGGTTGAAACTTGGTTTTGTTTAATTAGCAATTCACATATTAATTAACTTTTTTCGTTATTTTTTCTTGTTTGCCAGTTTGTACATTATGGATTTAAGGATTGCAACTAAGTACATGCATATTGTTTGTGCAGATCAATATCAAAAGATATTTTGAAATTAGTCTATATATTAGTTAATAAGCTTACCCATGAATTGTTTTCAGCTTGTCTTGGCAATACTTACTCTAATGACTTGAAACTTGGTACCCACATAATATTATGTTTAGTTGAATTTTCAATCCTAGTTTGGAATCAATCTTTACATATTAATTAGCTGATTTGCATACCTATTAACTGTTTTCACCATGCTTTGTTTATATTCTAAATTTGCTCAAATGGATTGAAACTTAATACATATGTACTGGGTGTCCTTTTTCATGGCTCAACCAATCTCTGAATATTAATTAAATAATTTGCATAATTACTAATTGTATAAACAATAAAACACATTCTATGCATATTAATCAGCTAATTTGAATACTAATTAATCATTTCCATACATTCTGTTTGTATAGAAAAATCAATAAATGATAATAGTTTATTGTAGTCTGCAGTTATTAGCATATGTGCATACTAATTACATCTTACCAATACAAGAAAAATGTGATTCATAATATCTATAAACATCCCTGGACCAGAAATATCTTGATTTAATCTGTTAATTTGGTTAATCTGATTAATTTGAATAGTTTGGTAACGAGGAATGAGGGGTAGTTGGACTATTCCATTGCTTTGTAGGTACAAAAATGGGAAAAATATAATACAAACATTAAACTGGAAATAAATATTAATAAAAAATGATAAATCTAAATTATTTTGACTGGTAGTTAAGATGTTAACGGATATTTTATTAATAATGTTAGCGTTGTGAGTGTTTCATTCAATTTCTCGCATAATAGCTGGTCCCATTGCCCTGTTTGCTAGAACACTCATCGCCCAGTCAATCTTTCCCTTGAATCTTCTACTTAGTTTCACCACTCTGTCACTATATAATAGTTCCAAATATCCTTCAGAAAAATTTGATAAACTCAACGATTCAGTTGACGAAGGCCGGTACTCCTCTCGGGACGTATCCCACCGATGCAACTGAAAAGCCGCACAATCCCTTGAACCGTTGCCCTTGTTAGTCCATCTTCCTCCGTCGTCGATCATTCTTAAACGTAGAATAATATTTATTTCAGTGTCTTTGTCTAAACACTTTGACATATCGGTAATAACAATAATTGTTCAAAATCAGAAACTGCATTCAAAAGTAAACTGTTCTCACGAGGATAATTTAGATAATTTCATTATATGTTAGGGGCGTTTTTAAATATTTGTATCAAATAGGTTTTGCGAAACGATCAAAATAGAATTTATTAAATGAATTTGCATATGTATGCATGAAATAATAAAGTGTTCGATATAAAAAATGAGTAAAACATGATTGTTTGATGACTGGACGCTTACACGTTGTAATAGTTGAACCCATCTGAAACCCTGGTCAGTTGTTTTGATTAACTGTCACGTAGGCGCGCGTGTATGTAACTTTATTGCATCTAAAACGGTCGTTGGAGCATCTGGGAAAGTGTCTGGGGATGTTGCAAAGTCCCTCGGTAATTACCTACCGAGTGCGGCAGTTAGGTGTATGTAAATATCTTGCGCTCGCTGTAAATAACACCAAGACTTTGAGCTTTTGAGTTAACTCAGCTGCAATACTGTAATTTGGTTTCGGAGATTAAACATAAATATGGTATTAATTTTAAAAACTTTTTATTCAATCACAGGCCTTGTTAACATTTAAAATTATTGAGCTGATGCCTGTTATTTTTGTCTTTGTAGTCGGTTTATTTCTACTGAAGTTTCACCGGACAGAAGAATGAGTGATCAGAAGCAAAGCCCAACGACTCCCCCCAGTATGGGGAAGTGTCCTCCACCTGTAAGTCCTAATGGAGCGACTGGTACTACTAGTTGTCCCCTACTTAATCCACATCTGACTGTCAGTGCGGTGGCTTCTGCTGGCAGGCCACACATACCTGTTCAACTCTGTCCTGATAGACAAGTGCAGGTAAAAGAAAATTGGTCTAAACTGCATGCACCCTGCACTTAGGAGGCACGCTAATTTACAATTCAAAGTCTTATTATTCTGCATGGATTTGATGCACTTATCATATAAATATGACAGAGCGGGGCATTGATCTACAAGATCAAAACTAGATTCTAAAATTGTCTGGGCATAATTGCTTTCACCTCGATAGTGTTTTGTACACCAAAACAACAACATTGCCAATTAATTTTTTGACTCGTTTGCTGAGCATGTCTCTTGTTACATGATTAGATCAAACCACTTTTATGAGATGTTCAAGATATAAAATGAGTGCAGTGTAATACAAATTCATTTTTAATTAAAGAAGTCAGTTTCTATAGTTTTGAAAAAGAAATTAAAAAGTGTCCATTTTAGTTAACACTATTTGTTCACTGTGCTGATCCTACATTATTGCTACGTTCACACAACAGCATTTTATCGGAGCCCAACGCGTTCGGCTTGAGCCAAGTTCAGCTCCACTAAATCCTCAGGGTTGAACTCTGATAGAGTTGTGTCCCGACATGGCTCCGATCGTGTAAACGCATCGAGCCCAACTATCGGAGCCGAAATCACGCCCTCAATCGTCTTCTTCGAGTAACCTTTCATTTCAATTATGGTAGAGACAACATCTTTCATAATTTCACGCAATTTCCGGCTTGACGAAGAGGTAGGCGTCCTTATAGTGACGAATTATTGCGATAGATTGATAGCTCAACGGGAAACAAAAAATGGCCTACGAAATTATGCGACAAAAAATTGAAAGAACGATTGAACGGAAACTTTTTAAAGACACTAAAGATAAAAATCGTAGAAGCGATCGCAGTACGGTGACGTGTTCCTGGTAGGTTTAGATTCTTCCATAGTCCCTCTATATTAGATAGAGAGAATCTGTGATTCTTCCTAGTAGTTTAGATATCACTACAGTTGAATAGTTACAAAATGGTAATTTTGCATGACAATAACTTGAGTGAATAGGCTGTATTAAACGTATTTTAGCTGCTGTGTTTCCTGTTTATTCAAGATACTAGTACCTAAATCATAATACCAGTCATTGTCTTTTCTACTTCCATGCTTAGGCTCGCGACTGTTTCTCTTTTCTCCTAGCTCAACAGCATTGTGCCATGTAAAGAAAAAACACAAGCACGGCACTAAAATCGTTTTCAGTCACTAATTATTCGAGGGCACTGTTCAGTTCGGCTCTGATCAAACTGAATCTAACTCTGGTAGATCTCAGCTCTCGTTCGGCTCCCGACCGTATGAACGCTTTGGAGATAATCTCCTGTTAATCCGTAGGAGGAGCTGTAGTTCGGCTCCGATAGAATGCTGCCGTGTGAACATAGCATATGTGTGTAAGGAACATAAAAGCGGGATAAACAAACATTATAGTGGTATCAAAACATACCATGGGATTCAACAAACGTGAAAGTAGTTTTTTCACACTTATTAATGTGCTACTAGTATACACATATGGTCAGTTTTGATGAAGCGACAGTATCCCAACACCATATTCTTCTCTGAAACAATTGGCCTTTCAACATTGAGCTATAAATAAATTAATTTCCAGTCAAATCATTGTTTTTGTGGTAGACATTCGATCTGCAATGGAAAATCGCGTATTGATAGGAAATAGTAACAACTTTTGCATTGAAGATATACATGTAGGGACATGTATGCTGTGTTAGTACATACTTGGCTTATTTTTTTTTTTTGACAACTTTGGCATGTTGGATAAAATAAATTGAAAGGGAATTGCAACTTCTTTAATATTCAGTCGCTTCAGTATTTTTTTGATGTCATCTGATTATTTGACTCAACGTTTTCTAATCACGTAACGATCTTTAGCCATGTATAACAAACCAGTCAAAAACTTAGCTGGCTGTGTTCCTATTTTAATGTACAAAACTATATCATGTTCACAGAAAAGCTTAAATACAAAAAAAAATACAAGTCTGATTTTAGCTTGTTTGACCTTGTGGTGAAAATGTTTTTTTTTAATAAAGGCAATGGGATTGGTGAAATGTCCATGGTAACAATTCCCGTAATTATAATTTTTTTTTTATTAGACCAACATTGACATATGTTTCTGTTTTATTATCTCAAAAAAGTCTGCAGTAAACAAAATAAATTTTGATGGATATTGTTCAAATTAATTTGACACTAGATAAGTGTGCGTGTATGGTAACGCATGTTTGGTGTTAGCAAGTGGGTTTCTCTAACCAATATTTTCATACCTTTTGACCTAATAGTCAACAAAAAGCATCATGTTTTTACTGCATGCTGTATTGGTGGATTTATTTTCATGTGTTTGCAAATATTGTACTGTAATAGTGTTTTTTTTTTCAAGCAGCAAATCTGTCATGATCGGCCAACTAATTGGTGCATGTCTTTCTAGATTTTGATATCTAACACATGTTCTAATTGGTTGCTGATCCTCATAGATCTGATGTGATTTGGCAACCAATTGGTGCACGTCTTTCTAGAAAATGACATGTAACACCAATTCTGATTGGTTGCTGTAAGAGCTGAACTTTTATAGGTTGTTTATCGGATGGCCCAATAGAAAATCAAGTTAATTTTGTCCAAAATTAAAGAAAAGGTGAATGAATAATTACCAAAAAATAGGCAATATGCTTCAAAAGTTTAATTGGATGTAGAATAATCAAGTTTGAATGAAACATTCTTTGGATTTGAGAAAGATTTTATCTTTTTCTAAATTCTCTGCTTGTCGTAATTTGATTTGTTTGTAGGTTATTCAGCGACCATTCAGTGCACCTCAGTATGGAGTAGCAACCCAGTTGTTTGCTCACCAGCCTGTACTGTTACAGGGACTGCCACATGGTACTATAGCTGTACCACAACAACAAATGCAAGGTATACCACACTCTTGTTCAAACCAGTAAGAAAAGACAGTTGATCTGACGTTAATAAAAATACTGTATTTGTGTAGTGCATGTCTTAAATAAATTTCAAAATTAATGTTTGAAGCGCGATAGTCGTCGCGCAACGCCTGTTCGAATTTCATGTAAATAAACAAGGTATTTTACACGCGTTGTATACGTCGCTATGAGTCTCATATCGAACAGGATGTGGCACCACCACTGCCGCCCTTTAAATGATTCCCTATACAACAAATGTGCTTTTAGCCGGTGTGCCCATCTATTTGAGAAACATCTTCATTGTAGGTGCACATAAACACAGGATTGTTTTTATTTGTATACTGTAAAGAGGTTAATTATTCACTGGGATTTTGCTTATTTCACCGACTGGAAAATGCGCTAAATTAAAACCCAGTGAATATGTAACATTTAGCATAGAACACATTATCTAAATGATAAAACCGTGAATTTAAAACCTACTGAATATGCCTGAAATGATAAAATCAGCAAAATTTAAACCCAGTAAAAATTAGTCATTTTACAGTACTGAAGCATTAAATATAATGTAACCAGAGAGCAAACGCATGCTACTGTTAGAACAAATACAGTATAAAGCATAAAGTATCTATTCAGTCAGTCAGTCAATATGGGTGATTACATCAATCAAAGATGCATATAAATTACAGTATTCTTGTTTAATATTTTTTTTTGCTTATAATCGCATCACATCACAGTGTAGTAAAAGATAGGTCCAAAATGTCAGCAGAAACATTTTTGTGATTGTGACTAAGATTGCTAGCTGAGGCGAGTTTCTATTTCCATAATGCTTTACCTTTTTGTGGCATCCAGCGTTTGATTATAACCTGAAAGTGAATTTAGTGTTCTCTATGTCAGTGTCAATAATTATATTATTTTTATATTTTCACAAGGTATGGCATCTCCACCTCTTCCTTCAAGATCACCCACTACTAGTCAGCCTGGTATGCAACCAAATATTACAATGTTACAACATGTGGTTCCTTCGACTCCACCTCTTAACTTAGTGAGTGGAAGTTGCAGTACTACGATTGCTAACCTGACCACGTCTACATCATCAGTTGGCAGTTTGAACGCCTTAACAGCAACTGTTAATGCACTCCAACCAATGGTTTCGTCTGTTCCATATAGCATTGCAGGTAACCAGCCTGGTAAACTGATGACTAAGGCTATGGGTGGCATGGTGATCAGTACTCATTCACCGACATCTCCTAGTCATGTGCCTAGTGTTGGTAAAGTAATGGGTCGTCATGCTGGTATGCAGTTTTCTCACAAGGAATCTAAGCAACAGGTTATCATAACGACAACAACACCAATTTTTGTGCGTCCACAACGACAGCCAACAACAGTAACAACCCACCCACCTATACAAACTGTTACTGTAGCTGCAACTCCTTCTTTTACCCGACACAATATGGTAATGGTGTCTCCACAAACTTCTGTGAGGCATGTGCATCCTTCTCACCACGGCATCCCTAAACAGCAGCAGCAACAACAATTACAGCAGCAACAACAACAACTACAGCAGCAACAGCAACAACTGCAGCAGCTGCAGCAACAGCAGCAGCAATTACAGCATCTTCATCAACAGCAACAGATTGCAGCTGCACCTAAACATTTAGCTCACTCGCATCATATGCAGAAATCTAGTCATAGCCACTTAGCTCGTCAACACGCATCAACTACTTTGACAATTCCAAACCCAGCAAAGTTCATAAAAGTTGAAAAACCATCGGATCTGAAATACCGACAGTCGCATAGCAGTGCTGGAAAACACCACAAAAGACCTGAACCAACCAAAGTTCATCCGCAGCGTCAACCACCCCCATTACTTCATCTCCAACCTAAATCCCCACCAGTATTACAACAACAGTCTAACCCCACACAACCGATGATGGCTCAACAAAGTCCTGTCATGGAAAATGTAGATGCTCAACCCCCTAACAGGCCCAAGAGTGTTCCACAACTGGAACTCTCTGTGGTCAGCATCCAGGAGAATAACCATGGTAACAAGGAGCAAGAGGAAGACAACAGTAAAGATCCTATTCTGACAAAGGAGCCATCTAAAGAGAAGGAACCTCAGAGAGCCATAGTTAGGCCTCAGGTGTTGACACATGTCATAGAAGGATTTGTTATCGAGGAAGCTAAGGAGCCTTTCCCTGTAAGTAGCATGATATGATATACCAAAAGCCAATATTTAATATATCTTGCAGTGTATTCCTCTTTTCATCACAAATTCCCAAAATAGTCTTTTTCCTGAAGAGCAAATTTTTTGAGTAAAAACTGAAAATTGAGTCAAATTTTGTTTGTAGGCTCCAAATTAGGTTTCATATTCAGAAATATTGAAAAATACAAGAAAAATGGCAGAAAAATGTGGGCGAGAAATTTGGTTGCAGAAAAAATTAAAGGATTCAGTGCACATCGCAGGTTAAAACTGCCATTTGGATAGTGCATTGGGTTGTGGACAAATCAAGACTCAATGTGGTGCAACAATCATCTTGTATTTAAGTATTGAATAAGAAATGACTATCACACAATCAGAAACAAATAGGATAGCCTCAGGATACTCCAGTAAAAATTTTGCCTGCTTTTCCTTACCATATATTCATTTTTATTCAACAGTCTGGCATTTAAAAACACAGATGATTGTGCTGATACTTGTTTGCATAAATTTTGTGTACTATTTTTTGCTGCTGGGTTTTTACTCTTAAAAGTTTATGATGACAAGCGAGAGAAGATGTGCAATGTGTTCTGCTGGCAATCATCAAATTTGACGTAGACTCATTACATGCCAGTTACCTATCCTTGGGGCGGAGCTACGTCACAAGAAGTTCCACATTGCTAAGACGCACACCACTGTACCATGGGCTCTGCGTGAGCTGCTGTGGAACGCCGGTCAAAAAGACGGTGAAAATAGCTGAATTTGAGAAAACAGCACAAACTCAACTTTGAAGTAATTCTGAACAACCAAATTTATATATGTTACACATGCAGGGGTAATCTTGTTACACTGTTAAGGGGAGTCACAACAACTGTTTTCTGAGAGTTTTCAACCTTATTTTTCACCGTGATGGTTGCCAGGCGCTGAAAATGCCCGGATGTCCACCTTGAGAATAATTAATAACTTGTGGGTTGGTGTCAACATTTACATATTATTTGGTGATTTGCTTTAGTCTGTCTTTTTTTTTTACCACATTCAAATTAATTGTTTGATTTGAAAATGTTTGAAAAAAATGCTGTTTTGAAACATTTTAAAACTGCAGACTCAAATATGTATGCAACTAAATGTACTCTATTTGCCTTTCTCACGTAAGTCAACATACTATTTTGAAGAAATTTTAAAGAATAGCGCTCGAAATTGTTTGTGCCACTCTTCGGAAGAGACATTTATGACGTGTCTGCCATTTGCAAAAGACAGTCAATTAGAGATGTGTTCAGTCACAAAAAAGATATACTTTTGTTGAGTGTATCACATTCTTTGAATCTAAGCTTGTTTTTGACAATATTTTAATTTTGCAGGTGAGTCGGTCAGCCTTGATATTTGATCTCAATTCTTCCAAGAAAACTACTTCCTCTGTCTCATCTGACCAAGAAAGTATAAATATAGAAAGAAGATTAGATGAACATGAATGTGAAATGGGTAAGCAATTACACTTTAGATTATTACTTTTACTCATATTTGCTTGCTATGATTTAGTTGCTATGATTCCGTTGATGCACACAGCAAACTGTGGACCATTGTGCCCTCTAAGCTGATAGGACGTGCACAAAGATTTGCAACTCGTTGTCATAATTCACTGGCAAGTCATTGATGCATCAGAAAATCATATATTGATTTAGCAGTCTTGAAAATCAGCATACTTATAGTTATGGAATTTGTAATTTGGTAAACAAAATAAGTATAATAATGAAGAAAATCAGGGGCCTCAAGTCGCAAATTAATTTTCTTGAAGGCTGACTCTCCAGCAGTCAACAAGCTGACACAATTTGAATTTCGGGGATTCTTTTTTGAATCAGGATTCCTACAAAATAAGCCCTATTAGAGGGACTGATGGGGACCTGCAAAATAAGATGAACAATGTTTTTTCATTTGACCATGAGTATTCACAGTATTTACTCTGTAAATAAATATATCAGAATTATATGACCATGGTATTCACACCTCAGAAATTGCTCTATGCTTTCCTCACATGAAAACACCTGTGGAATAACTTGTCATTTGGCTACATTGGAGTTAAATGATAACCTTGTGTTTGATTGCTAGAATATGTCCAAATGGTGATCTATTAGCATAATCTTGTGAAATTGAAGAGAAAAAACATGAATTGCTTTACCATGGAACTATAAACTATGACCATCATCTTGAGTTTTCTTTCCTTTACATCAGCATTAGAGAAAAAACCCAGATGTGAACGTGTTATGCCTACTTAAAGGGGTTTAAAAATGGCGGAGTGTAAACTGCTTAGAATGGGGTTATCAGCACTGATTTATCCATTATGTATATTACGTATCACTTTACGTAGATGAGAACACACAAATCATCCTTCTGCAACATTTACATCTCTTGTAAGAATTGCTGACGTGAACGCAATATTATGATATCCTTGTCTTTTTAGTTACGGAACACAACTTAAATGTAATTTTTTTTAGTGTGAATACAGTATTGGAGGGAATGAAAAAACATTACCCTCTTTTTGTTTTCATTTTCTTTGGATTATACATGCTTTTACAGTATGGTTTACTCCAAACATCTGAATCTTTGAATGTCTTGATTACAGGAGAAAGCAGTCAAATGAGGGACCCAATAATTCTCAAATGTGAGTTCTGTGGTAAGATGGACAGTGCAACCAAATTCAAAAGATCAAAGAGATTTTGTTCAATGGCG